GCATCTCTTGCCCTAATCCTGTTCCCAGAAGTGGCCGAACAATTTGGGGCTGAAACTGCACAAAAAGTAGCTGGTGAGGAGTTTCAGCCCAATCTGGTGTGGATGAGATTAAACCAGACTGCAGATAGAGGGTATTAATGGGAAATGCAGACAAGCTGGCAAAGCAGTTACCAGCTCTTTCAGAGGCACTAAGGGCAGAGCCTCCACTAAAGAGACCCGCTTCTGAAAGCAACCCAGTTTCATACATTGGCCTCTAAGTGAATAAAAAGCCCAAGAAAATGTTTCACGCTCACGTTCGTTACTTCTGACGAGCCCAGATTTCTGTGGCGCAGTAGCTCAGCATGGTTGTAACAACTCACGAGAAAATGAGAAACTGAAATCCAGGGCACTTTCCTTATACTCCTGGTAGGGATGAGAGTGTTTTACAGCGTGGTGGAAACTGTACAACAAAAATACCTGATCTTTCCAGGCAGGTGAGCCATGTCACTTGTAGCAGGCAGCCCCCCACTCTTGAAGTGCCAGATACATAGTACATGTGCAGACAAGCTGAACTGCAAGGTACAGAAACCTGGCATGTCCATGTGCCTTGGCCCTAGCGCACATGCTCCGCAGTGCGTACACCAGGCTAATTCACACCAGACTCCCTGCACTCCCTTGCACGGTGGGCAAGCGCTCCTGAGAAGGAGCAGGTTGCCACCACCAGACTATTTAAACAGAGCTACAGATTCCTTCTCAGGCCAGGGAAAAGCTTGCTGCCAACAAACTGCAGGCAAAGAAACTGCTCCAAGGCTGTATGAGGATGCCAAGCTGCAGGTTAGACTCTGCTTTACAGCAGGGATCACTCTCACTGGCAAGCTGGCAACTGTTTTCAGCAGAGGTTTAGCCCCAGCCTCTGAACCTGCAAGGCACTAACAACATGCGACATCATGCGAGCTGTTCTCCTAAAAGACACGAGAGCCAGCAGAACGAGGCAGATAACCCCCTTCACTGTGCTCATGGACTCTCCACAAATCCAAAAGGGTTTGCCTGGAGAGTATAAATAATTTTGTCTTGCAAGCAGGGACAGAAGAGCACACAGCCACACAACACATGGCAGGATAAACCAAGTTAGCTAGCTAGTGTGTACCTTTCACCCATGCACTCATCCTGGACCTATGAGTCTGTGATCTCATCCCAAAGCCTTTGACAACCATCAGTTAGTAATGGCTTTTAGCACAGATCATCTGTTGGTCACCACATGCTTACAGGCTCTGTTTCAGAGGGTTCTTCACAGATTTCAACAGGAGTTAGAAGATGGCAGTGCTGGGCTGCTCAATCATCCACCTTGGAATTTAGACAACAAAGCGCACCGAGGACCCGTGACTTTGCTGTCAGCGCTGTCGCAGCAACAGCTTCTCTCGCCTGCTGGAAGCACAGACCTCTCTGCCACAGGGGAAACGACTCCAAGATACACCGGTCTTTCAGCCTTGGCTCAAGTGTCCTGTTTTCTAAGCTGCTTCTTGTTACAAGGTACTACAGCATCTGTGAGCTATGACAAAATGCATTTCCACATGTTTGTTTCTGTGCCTGAATACTTTACTAGCTCTTAAGCTAAAACACCTGACACCTGCACTCAAAACTGTGGCCTGCGTAAGCCTTGCCAAGCTTGCTGTTACAGGGTGTTCCTGCAGCGTGTTCTCAAAGCTAAGATATGGCTCTTCCCAAGTGTTTTAAGGCAGTGGTTTTCAACCTCTGGAACACCCATTTGAAAGGTTTTGGTCAAAGCGACATTTTATATCTGTTTTAGCAGCTGGGGGAAAAGCGATAAGACTCGGATCATACTAATCACAGACGTAAATGCTGTTTTACGAACTGTGCGGTCCTAACCATGCGATTCAACTTAGCATTGAAGTCTAAAGTCATCTCCTATCTGGTGCTGTCAAGCCAATGATAATTGGTTTTAAATTAAATGATCATCAAAACCAAAGATGAGTTTTCTGAACTGATGACTGAATGCTTTTCCAATTGGAGGGCTCTTTTCCCTCCAGCCCTCTCTGGGGACCTGGAGGAGATAACAGTGCAGGAAGGAGAGCTGGGGACTGCAGGAAGGCGGAAGAGGTTGGTATCATTTCCTGAGAAAGTTGGGATGGGAAAGGAAATAGCCTCGGGAGTTGATGGGAATGGGAACAGAGCTGGAAAATACAGCTTCTAATTGCAATTGAGACTCAATTTTAATCTGGTGTGGGCTGTGTAGTGGGCTGTGTCATCTACTGTGTATAATACGCTGTAGCCAGTCACAGTTACAAACCAGAATTAAGCCTCACACACCTCTGATGGCAGGCCTCAAAAACCCTAGCTGTCAGGTAACAAGAGTTTGTTAAGAATCATGTCACAGGCCTCCTTCTGCAGCTTCATGCACCATGGTGCAGCAGCATTGCTTTGCAACGGTTTGAAACACAATAAACAGAAAAAACCCAAACTTTTGAAACTAAACCTAGAGCTATGTGCCACAGTCCAAACAGCCATGAAGACATATGATGAGAAATTCTGTAGGGGTGCATGCAAAGCGGAGTATTTATAGTGATGGCTTCAAATGATGCTTCCTCACTTCTCTCACTACTGATGTCTACAGTACTGGTGGGGCATTTAAAACTGTTAACTGTAAATCCTCACCTTCCACCTGTAACTTCTCTGCAGTTGCATGTTGTATCTAACAAATGCCCAGTCCAACCTAGAAGCAAGCTGACACAGGGAGGAGCCTGCCTGCAGTTTCTCAGGCAGTAAATGGGATCTGAATGGGACACAGGCAAGGGCTGCCGGAGCTGCTTTGCTCTGCCACGTTGGTCCTCAGGCATCCAAGCAGCCACTGTATGTGGTTCTGCAGCAGCCAGAAACCCTAGCCGTGTCACCATCACACACTCACTTGCCAACACAACTCAAGCTTATTTAGACGGATTGCGCTTCCAAATGAAGTATTTGTTCCCCTTTGGGGACGTACAGCTGAATTCTCTGCAAGATCACAGAGTACAAGGCCTAGATGTTTAACGGTGTGTTTATACACCTGTGCAGAATCTGACAGAAGGAGAGACGGAGTTGGACCCAAATGTTTCAAGCACACATCAGTATTACTCAATAGAGGACAGGTCCCTAGTGAGCAGTATCGGCAGTCACCACATCTCACTTTTCAGAGCAAAACACAGCAAGGAAGTCACGTGCAAGAGAGCTACAATAATATAACACTGTGAGATAAGATTAAAGCTAACAGGAAAAAAGAATCATATTTCCAAGTTTTGTATTTCAGAAGGTTGTGTGGTGACCTCTGTGTTTGGACGCTTGCATTTGTCTGTAGACATGCAATGTTTCTTTCCTACAGATCTACAGCCTGCACTTGGTAGGTAGCATATGGGGAGCTCACAGATAATGGTTGCCTCAAGCATTGCCATTGCATTTTTCCAACTACAACACTTTGGCCTCTCTGTACAAATCTTTCCTTGCGAATGTTAGAGTACTGCAAGGAGGAGATAGCAGGAACCACAAGAACAGTAGGGCAAATTAGTCATTTTTTGTTAAACAGTAGGAAATAAAAGTGAAGCAGGAAGAAAGCAGTACCTCTGTCAAAGGCCTTGGTCTTCTCTCTACAACAAATTCTGTGTGGCAGAGTTCACAGTAACTTGTGTTGGAAGAGGATAACCATTTTTCCAGGCAGCTCTTGTGCACGGTGCCCAATGTTCCTGTGCAGTCACACGGGGAAAGCAGTCCCTCCCCATTTCCACCTTCATGACAGATTCGACAGATGGGACCATCACTAAAGAGGCAGACAAACAGAATGAAATCACAGTCAGAGCAGTCAGAACGATACAGCTACATCCAGAGAATGGGATCTGATGCCACCAAGCCCCAGAAAGGCACACACAGAGCAGGCAGCACACAGTGTAGCGTGCCAGGCGCTTGGAGATTGTACAGAGCAGCCTGCTGTAACAAGAAGTGGGTCTCAGGGGACCACGAAGGTACCTGGGACACTTCAGGTCAGGAGCACCTGGAAGCTGTGTCGACAAACACTACAGCACCAATGGAAGCAGGTACGTTAGCTTGCACCACTCACCAGCTCACCCGCAGCCCTGCACGATGCAAGGCAGCTGCAGAAGGGACTGCTGTGTGCACATCCTACAGACTCCAGCTCTGCTAACGGAGGGCAGAGAGCCTGACACCAAACCAGAAATCAACCTTGTAGTGCTGACGCAAACCTAAAGGCCCAAAGCATAGTCTGACGACCCATGCCAATCACAGCATATGTCGTTAGCTCCCAGCCGCCTGGAACCGCTCAAGGGGTTCGCAATCAAGTCAAAGTTAAATTTATCACATCACCCACCCATTCTCTCCCCATCTCTGCTCCACATCCTGTGTTTAGCAGTAACTGCATAAGGAACAACAACATCTAAAGTCAAAACTACATTAACAAAGAAGTGCCCTAGAAGCCAAGGTCTCCAAGGACACAATGCATTTAATGAAAAGAAGCCACTGAAACAGTTCTTGGCATACTAATCTCCTCTGTCCATCACAGTGCAGTAGATAGAAAACCGTTCTGCAGGATTTGGGTCTTCATCTGGCTGCAGAAATGTCGCAGACAGCACTGCAACCACAATCACTTCTCGCTCCCCCTCGGCTAGAAGTTTCAACTACAGGATCACACCTCTTTGATTATCTGCAAGATCTGCTCTCTTGGGACCTCACAGAGCCAGAAATACTTTACAAGGCAAGTGCCAATGCTTTCAGGGACTTGCAAACTTCCAAATAACAGGCCTGCAAGTAATTCAAGCCACCCATTTGTTCCCAAGATGTTTTCTCCTACCTGTATCTGGCACCCTCAATTGTGGACTATTAACACTATTACCCCAGCATTGGGCAATCTTTAGCTCAGGTGGTTCAGAAGATGTTCATGAAGCAAATTCCCATCACAGACTAAAGTCGTTCTTTTGCATCCATGTAAACTTGTAGCACCCAAAGTCCTCCTGTAGTGGGGACTTCTGCACCTGCACAAAGAACCAAATCCATTTCATTTGAAACCTCTAATTTTCTTATTTTGTTTGATGCTCCCTTGTTTTGTCTTGGAAAACACATTGTTTTCCATGCCACTCAGATTTACAGACCTCCATCACCTCCTACTCGTTTGCCTCTTTTACAAGCAGAAGAGTCCTAGACTATTCAATCACACCTTACGCAGAAACCACTCCACCTTCACTACTCTCTCCTGTACCTGTTACATTTCTAAAACATCCTTTTAGAGCTGCAGGGATCAGGACTACACAGAGTGTTTGAGACGGGGGCACACCAGGGATTTTCACAGTAACTACTTTCGTTTTCTGTTTCTGTCCTAAATCCTAGCATTTTATTTGCTTTTTGGTCAGTGCTGAAATTTGCACAGAATTGCCACATTCCCAAGACCGCCCTTCTCTGAACCCATGAATATATATGTACATCCAGGACTACTGTTTCTTCATGTGCCTCGCCTCACACTGAACTGTATCTATATTTTAGCCTCCAGGCACTTCCGTTGGCGTTCAGTTGCCTAAACCTCGGCATCTAGTACCATCTTAGATCCACAGGGCATCTCAGCTGGCCTCCAGTGTGGCATAGGTCTCCTGGAAGCACTGTGCCACATCTTCCAGCCCCATGCTGCTGATGCCTGGGACTCCCTGAGGAACCTCAAATGGCTCTAGATGCACAAGTTTGCTATTCTCAGCAATTCAGTACACCCCCTCAGCATTTGCCTCTCATTGAGACCATTTAGGAATAAAATGCTAGACAGCAGAGGATTGCAGCTCTACCCTCCCTGAATTGTGAAAATCAGCCATCACTCGTATCTTACTTCTTTTCTATCTTCCAGTCAGATATTTATTCCATGCAACAAACTTCCTCTTATATCCATGGTTTCACAGATTTGGGGCTGGGATGCAGCGGGAGAAAGGAACATCTTTTGTTGAACGACCCTATTCAATGCCCTTTGGAAATCCAAGTGAGCTGTATCAGCTATCAGCTTTGTCCACATGCTATTGAGAGCACAAAAGCCACACAGATCTCATCTCACAGTTCATACTCAACTGGAACTCCGGCTTAAAAAAGGGGGAGGAAAAAAGTCCACAAAAGAAGTTTGTAGGGTTGCAACACAGCACAGCCAGGATAAGCAATCTGCAATCTTCAAAATCAGCAACACTCATTTCATTAGTTTGCACAACCAGGCAAAATAGAAGGCAAGAGCAAGACCCAGCGGACCAGACTCCAGAATACGCTCCAAAGGCAGGGAGCATACTGGGGAAAAATATTGGCGGGCCACGAAGGGAAGAGAAGGGCCAGCAAGCAAGTGCACTTCAGCTCAGAAAAGTGGGAGCAGGTCTCCTCCTCTCATGGAAGTGCACCATAGGACATCTTTGCCACTCGCAACTCAGTTTCTAACAAGTTTCACCTCAGTCAGACTTAACTTCAGATAGTTAAAGTTGGGGGATGCAAAGGACTAGGAAGAAGCAACATGCAGAGCAAAGGCAGCAGCTTCTGACCCTGTTGCAAAGCCAGAGTTCAGTGCTATAGTGAGCTGGGGAGTGCATGTGGAGACATTCTGCAGCACAGCTGGGTCCGAGAGACGCTCTGCAGGAGCCTGTCTGCAGGAGCGCAGTGCTGACAAACAGTCAGCGGAAGGAGGAAACCCAGAACGTACTGAATCAGCAGCAGCGATAGAAGCATACGCATGCACACCCTATACCCCCTTCCCTCTCCCGGCCAGCTGAGAGATCACGTCCTCCAGAGGATGCAGCCCTGAGCACACTTCCTTGTATGCATATACACACCCGCCCTGTGTCGTAAAGAAGGGGGCAGAAAAGCGTCCACAGTTATTAGGTGCTCGAGAGCTTCCACAGTTCACAGGCATCTGGGCAGAGCAGAGGAGTACAACCCTTAACTCATGTACGTGGGCTAGGGTCTCAGCTAGCACTAGATGAGCTAAGGAGACTCAGCACCCTTACAAGTGCTCACTGGTGAAACAGCTAGAGAGGTGAATTTCCCCTTACTCTCTGTCAGTACTAAGCCTAACATCCAAGCCCTGCACAACTTAAGACTCTCACGAGCACTTCTCTGGCCCTCGTCCCATGAAACATTTAGCAGCTAAAACTACCTCCTTTCAGAGGCAGTTTCCTCTTTCAGACTCTTCTCACCTCATGTAACCCTTACCTGTGATTTTTTTTTTTTTAAACACATTTAGGGCTCTGAAGCAATGCTCACCCACTGCACTGTCCCCTTCTCCCTGCCAAATACCACTGCTGGTGAACCACTGACCCTTTCTCTCTCCTAATTGTCACTTGCCTTTTCTTTAGGGGACTTCTTCAGCAGGGACAATCCCCACAACAGGGGTCTGGAGAGGTGGTAGAATCTCTGTCCTTTGAGATGTTTAAAACTGCACTGGACAAGGCTCTGAGCACCCTGATCCAACTTTGAAGTTGGCCTTGCTTTGAGAAAGGGCTGGACCAGACGACCTCCAAAGATCTCTTCCAATTTGAATTACTTGATGATTCTGCAACCTTTATTGCAATAAAGTTCATGTTGTATTAGAGTGACAAAATTACATGACACTCATATGGCCCTAGTGACAGAGACAGACCAAACCCTTCCCCCCCCAAGCCTCAAGTGCTCTCATGCATTTGTTGTTTCCTAAGAAATGCATCTGCAAGATATTTTATCTGCTCTCTTCCTGTTGGAGAAGCTTCAGAGTTCCAGCACATTAATATAACCTTGGCTACCAATAAACAATCTAGAAGGAAAAAATTTGCTGACACAGTGAGAAAAAAAATTCATATCGCACTCAATTTTTCCTTCCTTCTTAACCGGAGGGGGATCTGATCACACCCCCACACGATACAGCCTCCAATCACAGAATCACAGAATCGTTTAGGTTGGAAGGGACCTCTGGAGATCATCTAGATACAATACATTTTTCCAGCATGCTATAGGGACTGTATCACTAACACAACCTTTCAGTACAGTCGCACAGTTCCTGGAATTGTTTCATTTGTAAGACTCTGATGTCAGCTGCCGAGGCAGTTTATATTAAAGTGTGGTGCCTTCTATCTTCCTATTTGGATTCCAACTTCTTTTTTATTTCAAGCATTTCCAATAATTGGGCATTTCACATGGTTCTGCCATGCTCACGTGCTGTCATTTTGGGCACATCACAAACAAGCCGAATCACACAGCTCCATCTGCCTTCACTTCGTTAAGTCCTTGGGACAAGGAAGAGACTTCAAATAGCTGAAAACAACAATATTCAAACTCCATGAATTGAATACAAGGAACCCTTTTTTTCAACTGTAATCCCAGGCAGTTTCCCCACCTGACTTTCACTGGTTTTAAGGGCATGCACAACTCCCCACCCAGCCTGTCTCTTGTTATAGAGCAAGCTGACCTCCCTTCATATTTTTATCTTGCTGCTCTAGTTTTGCTAGATACAGCAATTACTTTTGCCTCAGTTCTCATCTAGCCTTTCTGCTTTCCTCCCCCACATTTACACTCTCAGCTTTCACACCTCATCAACGTTCAGCCTACTTCACTGAAAAAAAAACCCCAGCTGTTGAGATAGGATTTGAACCCAAAATTTGACTGGTCTCAATAGCTGAACTGAATAGCAACGCCAAGTGTCCTCTGCTCCAGACACTGCTCAATATACACAGTGACAAGTCATGTCAGGAAGGTTCAAGCAAGCAAAGCTGCCACACGTCCGCTCTAGCGATAGCTGGACGCTGCAGTTCCTGCAACCCAAACACCCTCCTTCCTGGGGCTGCAAAATCTACACCAGGCCTTTATTCCAAGACCATCTTGGCACAGGGGCTTTACTCCATCTTCAGCCCTTAAAAAATCTCCATAAATAGCATGCTGTCCCTGCTAGTGTGGTGTCCCACCTTCACCACCGCTCACCAAGGACTCAGCAGAGGCATGTGGGGCAGCCTCTGCTGTGTATGCTGGAGCAGTCACAGGTTCAAAGGCATTCAGCAAATGCCCGATTCCCCTATCCACTGACCCATCTGACTGGCACAAGCTCCCACGCAGACAGCGTAGGCCTGGATGGCGTCTGGCTACTGAGGAATCGCCCTCAATATTAGCTTCCTGGGAAGTGCCTTCACAAACAAGACCTTGCTGTCTCCTGCTGTGCTGAAAAGCCACAAAAAAGGGAAAAAAACAGATGCGATCAGCACAAATACCTTCTCAGAAGCAGCAGGCAGCCCTGCCTTACCTCTGCGCACCCAGTGCCTTGATCACCGTCGAGAGGAGCCGGCCATCCTTCGCAGTGACCTGAGTGACGTACTGTGGGCGCCCGATGTCAGAGTCCTCCACTGACTTGGACAGGGCGGCGCTTCCCGGGCAGTCGCACAAGGAGCCGGGGAGGTGGCAGCAGTCGCCTGTCGTCATGGCAGCTCCGGACCCCTCTGCCCCGGGGGACTGGCGCTGGCAGCACAGAGACCTAGGGGGAACAGCACCGAGGTGAGCGCCCAGCGCCCCAGACTCCCCCGGCTGCCCTCCTCCAGGCCCCATGCATGGGCTGGCAGTGCCCCTGCAATCGTATGCACACCCCGGGGCTCCGAAAGAACACTACTTTCACTAGTCTTCTGTCCCTTTTAATATATTTTATAAGATTGCCTTAACATGTCCTACTTACATAAGTTAGTGTTAGAACTGCAAATTTGCCTTTCCCAGGGAGAATTCATGGTAGCTACCCTTTAACCTGATGAAGTCTTTTAAACTGAGCTTGCTGATGCAGAGATGGGGAAGGCACCCAGAAGCCCCGTGGGCCCATTTCAGTCTGGCTAAAGCAGTACTGAAAATGCACATGTGTATCCTTCGTAAAAGTTGTAAAGTTTCGTCTGAGCCGGCGCTTTACCATCCTCAAGTGACTCAGTTCAGCGAGGCCACTCTCTCTGGTTGCATTCGGGGGCTTTCCAAGCTCTTTAAAGCCTGTCCACCAAATCCATACGGGTTCTCCTCACCCTTTGATTTTCCCCTTTTTTATTTCTTTATGGAAATACGTACACCTTCATTTCCACATCCCGTGTGCCATGTCCCAATAGCAATCGCATGGGTATTAACCACTCAAATGCACTGTAAAACTTCTGAGAGCTTCACCAAGAGGGCAGGAGGGCCCAGATCTCCCTTCCCTTTCAACGCTTGAGGCTAGGTGTGATTTTTGATAACAACCTTTAGCCACGTGCACACAGCAAGGCTCATGATCACGCTTTCAGCACCTCTGGGATTTACCCAGCAAAGAGAGCAGACGGGATAAGCAGCAAGTGCAAGAATCAGGGAGAAGATGCCAAAAAAGCCCCAGTATGACAAAACAGGAGCTGGCTCAGATGAGCACCGAGCTGCGTGCACGCAGGAGATCTTTCTGCCCCACGCTGCCACAACAGCCACGTTCTTCCCCAGCAGAGCTTACCTCAACCCCAAAGACAGAAATGCTTTGCAGCTTCAGGAAAATCCCTTTTTTTTGCAATTTCCCTTACCCTAGTCCCTAAGAGGTGGTTGCACAGACATAGAGCTGCAGTTACAATTCGTAATAACCTGACCGCAAGCCAACAACATCATACTGTTGGAAAAGACCAAAACCCTCGTGTCTGTAAACAGGGCTCCCTTATGTAAGGCACACACAGCAATCCCTGTGCACCAGGGCTGCGAGGAGCACAGCTGGAATAGAGTCTCATTTTGGTGGCTGGATTTCAAGAAAGAAACAGACCCATAAAAGAAGCTAAAATGAAAGCAATGAAAAGAGAAAGAGGTCTAA